CTTTTCTCCATGTTTTTCTATCTTGCTTTTTGCTTCCTTTATATTTTTCGTCTTCTTCTACCTTATATTTTTTGTCTTCTATCATTTCTATCTTTCATCTGCTTTCTTCTATATTTTACCTTCTATCTTCTTTAATTTTTATGTTTTATTTTCTCTATCTTCTATTTTTTATCTTCTCTATTTTCTGTTTTCTTGTGTCCATACTTTCTTCTATCTCTTTTCACTTTCATCTTAGGTCTTTTTCCATCTTTCTCATCTATTTACATTTTTCTTCTTTTCTCTATGATTTTTTATCTTGCTTTTTGTCTCCTTTATACCTTTTGTCCTTTTCTACCTCCTAAGTATTTTTAACCTTCTATCTCTTGCATCTTCTATCTGCTTTCTTCCTTCTATTTTCTCTATCTTTTATCTTTTCTGTTTTCTGTTTTTTGTGTCCATACTTTCTTCTATCTCTTTTCCCTTTTATCTTGTTTTTCTTTCATCTTTGTTATATTTTTACATTCTTCTTTTTTTCTTCATGTTTTTCAATCTTACTTGTGGTCTTCTTCATACCTTTCGTCCTCTTCTACCTTCTATTTTATATCTTCTATTTTTACCATTTTTTGTCTGCTTTCTTACATCTTTTATTTTCTATCTTCTCTATCTTCTATTCTCTATCTTTCCTATTTTCTGTCTTTTGTGTCCACACTTTCTTCAACCTTTTTTCCCTTTCCTCTTGATTCTTTTTCCATCTTTGGTATCTTTTTACTTTCTTTTTCCTTTTTTTGTGTTTTTCTCTTTTGCTTCTTGCTTCCTTTATATTTTTTGTCCTCTTCTATCTCAAATTTGTTGTCTTCTATCATGTCTATCTTTCATCTGCTTTCTTCTATCTTTTACCTTCTATCTTCTCAAATTTTTATGTTTTATTTTCTCTATCTTCTATTCTCTATCTTTTCTATTTTCTGTTTTTTTGTGTCCATACTTTCTCCTATCTCTTTTCCCTTTCATCTTAGTTCTTTTTATTTACATTTTTCTTCGTTTCTCTATAATTTTTTATCTTGCTTTTTGTTTCCTTTATACCTTTTGTCCTTTTCTACCTTCTAAGCATTTTTTACCTTCTATCTCTTGCATCTTCTTTCTGCTTTCTTCCTTTTATTTTCTCTACCTTCTATCTTTTCTATTTTCTGTCTTTTGTGTCCATACTTTCTTCTATCTCTTTTCCCTTTCATCTTGTTTTTTTTCATCTTTGTTATATTTTTACATTCTTTTTTTCTCCATGTTTTCCAATCTTACATGTTGTCTTCTTCATACCTTTCGTCCTCTTATACCTTCTATTTTTACCATTTTCTGTCTGCATTCTTACAACCTTTAKCTTCTATCTTCTATTCTCTATCTTTCTTATTTTCTGTCTTTTGTGTCCATACTTTCTTCTACTTTATTTGACTTTTTTCTTTATTCTTTTACTATCTTTGTTATSTTTTTACATTCTTCTTCTTTTCTCCATGTTTTTCTATCTTGCTTTTTGCTTCCTTTATATTTTTCGTCTTCTTCTACCTTATATTTTTTGTCTTC